TACAGAAATCTGATCCGGCTTGCAGTTGTCATTTAGTTGATTATCCGGCCTACTGTTGAAACAGTTTGGTGACCCCTGGCCTACACGATTGCGTGGCAAACGGTCGATCTTGAACTGCCCATCAACATGTCTAAGTCTAGCACTCAAATCGGTGCATTGTTGAGGATTCAACAATAGGGGAGATCAACAAAGGTGCAAAATATGTAGGCAGTGCAGTGGAGCATTGTGTTGCACAGGCTGCCGAGTGAAGTGGAGACAAAGAGCAGGTTTTCGTAGATGCATTTGTCTCTTTGCGCTGTGTGAGCACAAAATTTAGTGCAGGAGAAGCGGGTGAACTGCTCAGCACGACGATATCATGCACCAGGCTCCGATGGTTGGGCCACGTGTTGTGCATGTCAACACACGGACTTCCGCGACGTGCGTTGTTTGCTCGTCGGGGGTGCGATTGGAAGAGGAGGTGGGGAGGCCAAGCGATGACCTGGTCGAGAGAAATAAAAACCCTCACTTCGAAGTTTGCGTCCATTGGTGCATCCCGACTGCTTGGCTGGAGTCACAAGGACGGTGAATACGTTTGGTCGGACACAGTTGCTGATATGGTTAAGAGCCCGACGCAATGGCGTTTGCGTTGTGAGTTTCTTTTGCCATCTCTCTCCAATCCCGATCTCATACGAAACGCATAATGTAATATTTAACATCGTATTATTTGCTTTTTGAATTCTTTGTTGTGCAATTTTTAGTATCTTAGGTTTTGTATTGCGTACATTAGCCGAGGTGTGTTTCTCACCCTCAGTTAAGGTGTATTGATGATGATGATGTGGGCACAGAACTTCCAGATTGTCCAGGTCTAGGATGGGCGTTGGTATGGGGGACTTCACCTGGAGCCCAAAGTCCTAAGGACCTTACTCGCTAGGAAGGGAGGGGATCAACGTAAGTCGCTAACCTAACCATCGGGAGCCGGTTAAAAAGTTTTTGACAACATAAATACTTAGGGCACCCGGACAACCAGTGTAACAGTGCAGAGGCCATGAGACATCTCCTGGAACACCGAACTCGCCCCTGAATACGAAGACCATTGACAGCCAGGCGGTTCATACGCTTCGAATGATGGGCCACGCAACAGCCGGGAGCGAAGGTTGTTCATCCAGTCACCCTCACGTACTCACTTCTGGGTGCAGAAGTGAATGGTTTGTGACCCTATAGTCGGTCAATGACTAAGACCACACCTCGTAGCATAAGGAAACCGCATAGAGGCCGAGCAAACCCTCAGTAGCGTCTAACACACTGACGACGCAAGTGTCTGCCGAAGGGGGTAAGCTTGGATGACCAGTTAACAAGCCTGGAAGCACGTGGAACATCGCTGGCGAGGAACGGAAAAGGAGTGTACTAAATGAGTAAGCTCCAGCAAAAGAACTAGCGTTATATGCGTTAAAAGGATTATTCTAGTTAGTTAAAACGAAGTATGAAATCGTCTTGAGTGACATGGCGTATGGCACACTTCCCAGGGAATGTCAAGGCAATACAAACAGCGGTTTCCCGAGTCCGATGACCAATCCCAAGAGCCAAGCGTGTATATGGATCCGGAAGTTACAACCATGGAAATTCGAGTATGCAGTCCCAGAAAGCTCAGTATGCCAGTATCACCGCACGCCATTTAAGGCTCTGGAGATTTCGAAATAAGCCCATGACCTTAACATTTCGTGGGAAAGGCCACGCTGATGACGCAGGCGCATACTGTAGAAGTGAGGCACAATCGTGTTTACCGAATTTATTGAATAACGAGAACAGAACCGATGAGAGCGCGAATTCGTTAGTGTGTAATCCCCGGAAGTTCTAAATTTGAAAAACCTGGTTACTTACCGAAAGCATAGTGCATAAGAAAGCGTTCGATTGCGACTTCAATGCTGGTCCTCATGGACTGACATACATGCTGTGAGAACAAAATTTGAAGCTTAGAAATCGATCGAAATGCGATAAAGACTAACTAATAATTAACGGGACGCGCTGATCATGCTAAAAGATTCGCTGCACGACTGATCATCATCACTATCATTCTGCAGGTTAGCTAGAGGCAAGAAACACTAGTCATGTATTGCACAACTGAACAGAACGTTAGAGAGTTGCTGCAAGGAAAAATAGGGTGACCAATGCAACCGCCACCGTAAAAGGGGAACGCTATTGGGAGTGCTAAGCATAGGCTATAGCTTTAGATGAGTGCTGTTTTGTGTTAGAGTAACATCTTTTGCACCGGCATTCAAAGGAACAACGGTACTAACCATGGGAAGTTTATTAATTTCCATTCAATCTAAGGGGACTTCATCATGAAGTCGAAACACTTTCGTTGCTAAATGAGTTGTTTACTCACAACTTTCAGGACGAGCTATCCCCGCATTCCACTGTCTAAACAAAACCGGTGATGACGTCCAGCAAAATCCATCCTTGTTCGACCTACCATGATGACTAAGTTCAATGTGGTTTTCCTCCAGTTTCAAGTTAAGAAGTGTTATCACCATTGCCAATTACTCTTAAAATCACAAGTGAAATCTTCCTGTCCATGATGGCGTAGCGGAATGCAATCGATCAACTGACAACCGTTTGTGTGATGGTTTCGATAGGTGAATAAGCACCAGAAAAATCCAAAGAGTAACGAAAAGATTTCGGAAGTTCAAAGCAACAAATACAAGGGTAGGATAAAGAAGAAACGCACACCATCTACCAGTCGAGACAAGCTGATCGAGGCTATAACAACACGCGGCTACATTAATCTGCGGCTGTCTGCAGGTGTCTGTAATCGTTTCGTTCTATGGAGGGGTAGCATAGAGAATAACTGACTGGAACAAAAGGAATGAAGTTGGATTATCGATGACGCGCTAGCACGTTATCCTATCAGTTAGAGGAAAAAATGTGGACCGGTACGGAGGAGCACCAAGTAGGTAAAAGCGAAACCTCGGAGACGGAAAAGCATGGCAGAACAGTGAAAGTGATGTGTCCTATTGAAGGTAGAACGAACAGCGTCCTGCACCCTCGCAAGTCCTGTGGCATGCTCATGATCGGCTATATTGCTGGCTAGGAGGATGTCCAACTGACACTTCGTTAGCAAATATAGCAATGACCAAATTAAATACACTTAACACCATTTATGGGTTCCAAGAAGAACAATGCACTCCAAAGTGTTGGAAAGTTACATTGAGAGTTAACTGTCAGTACCCTTCGACAAGGAGTCGCAGTCAATCAACTGACACATTCCAGGAATTTACACTGGTGCAGCCAAGTCAACAGTTCACTACCAAAATGCCTTATGGATAGCATTTCACAATCATGACAGGTCAAAAATCGCTCACTGTTATCTTTGGAACGAAAAAAGCATACCAACACATACATCTTGGACTTCAACATGAAATACTTGTCAATGGATTCTATTGGGCAGGCAGTTGGCTTGCTGAACAACCTCCTCGTGGTGCCAGCTGGGTGGTTCGGGATCTACCCATTCCAGCAAATCATCCGGTGGCAGTGTTCCAGGATGTGGTGGGTTTTCGCTTGGCAGGCGATCCCCCTATAAAAAGCCACATATGTATGCTTAACAATACTGTGACGTGGCGGATGTGACGCCACTAAATAAAGCCACTGCCCCTTGCTTCATACTGCCGAAGCATTATATTCCAGCAACGTAATATTGAAGTTGTGGGGAGCATTGGTCCCCTGTTTGGCAAACGAACAAAGGAAAGGCGTATGAACTGGACAATCAATCACCGGCTCCCAATGAGAGCGGTTCCCTGAATTCGCTATGTTGCCTTGCGGGCAGGCTATTCAGCCAAAAGCTCGGGGTGGTGTCCCCTAAGTCAACACCCTACTTCGGCTTGGGCAACTGGGTAGTATCTCGCCCTCTGACGAAACCATGGACTCATCTGTGTTGTGATGTTTTTTTAACCATATCTGTACCTTCCTTTGAGTTCCATGGCTTTTGATAGCTCCATACCTATTCGTAGGCTGTTGAAAATATATATTGGGCAGGCGGATGCGCTATATAGGCTAAATAACCGCGGAAGATGTGGAGGCGCGATAATCGCAGTACACACAGCCGAAGTAGTTGTCAGTCAAATGGTAAGTCGTGAACCCTTTACCGGTCAATGCCAGTGCGGTTCAGCAAGCTACCAAACACCATGCGCTGGTACAAGAAGTTTCGCGCAAGATAGGACAAGTCTGGCTAAGAAAGTGTCCAAAAACTTGCTTAAGTGTTCAGTTGTAGCGAAAATTTGTTGAAAACTGACTTTTGTCTGTTCTTCGTTGATAGCATCGTTATTCTAGAGGTCCTGTGGCAACACCTTAAAGCAACTCACTAAAGGTCATCCAAGAATTTCCAGAATGAAGGCACTGACTCGGATATACGTCCTTTTACCGAAGCTTGACAAACAGTTAAAGGATAATGGCTGTACCTGTTCCAAGTGCTCGTGTGCTTATAAGCTGCAAGTACACACGACAATGCAGTCTTAGTCCTACCGCAATAACCATGGTAGGGGCTTCACGAAAAACTTGCGCGCCCAGTTGATGAAGTCTCGTTCCTCATACTCGCTGATGCCCACAGCAAGAGGCCAGAAGTAGAAGTGATGCAAAATCCCTTAGCAAGCAGTACAATGCACGCATTGAGACAAATTTTCAGCCGGAGTAGCTTAATAGAAAGCATTGTCAAATAATGGACCACAGTTTACGTCCTGTAACTAACTTGCTGAGCTCTGTGCATGTAATGGAATCGAACACATGAGGGATGCAAACCACCATTCACAATCTACTGAGCAAGCCGAGCGATTCGTCGATACTATGAAGTGAGCCTTCTAGAAATCGGAGTGGGAAAGAGCACTAAAGGACCGGACACATTCGCAATAAATTATCGAATTACTCTGAATGCCAATGTATCAGATGGAAACTGCTCATTGAAGCCTTTTGAGTTGAAAACTGAGAAACACTTTGGAGTTAATGAGTCCTGAACGCCCAACGAGACAACTTACAAATTCTGTAATGGAAAGCCGACAACACAGGCTACATGGAGTACGGCCCAGAAATTTTGAAGTCGGGAACCAGGCTTTGCTGTTTCTTCGTAGGCGCCCAGAACCAAAGGTACATCTGGATTCGTCGCGTGACGTTGTGAGAAGTTGAGGTGTGATATCTGTGTCAATAAGCAGGTGGAGTTCATCCATGTCAATCAAGTATAACCAAGCTACATAACCCCATGAAGTCTTATACCAATGGACTTGATTTCAAGAAACTTGAACACAACTGCGCCAAACAATGTAAACAAAGTTTGGGGAGTCCAAGAAGGCGGGTACAAGCAAGGTCAAAACGGAGATTGTACAGCTATTCCCATTGGATCCCATCGGGGTTTATGTTAAGCAATGTGACCATATTTTAAAAGGGTGTTAGATGAGTGACAGGAATTCAGCTGGGCTTATGTGAATTCGCAGACCTCCGCTTGGCTACTCTTACTCACTGGCAATTGTCTTAACGTGTCGTTTTGTTAGTTCCATCCGTTGCTTAAAGTCGTTCTTTCTGGCTATGGATCACAGCCCTACTCAGACAATAAAGCTCAGTTTTCTTTAGTAGACAATTGATGAATTAACTTGTTCGATTCGTACTGTCTTTATTCAATCGAGCTTACTCGGTGCTCCGATTAGTTTCGAAGACACGCGTCTGCTCTTCTCGTGTTTCACCACTGTTAGTAGGTGGGAGGTCGCGGGGCGGACAAAACAGATTTTCATCGCCATACACGATGACACTTAATATATGAATGTTGTAGCTAACTACGTGCTCTGATCGAACATGATTGGCCCAGACGGATAAGCAGATGCAAGTTAAAACGAAACCGTAACTTCGCCAAATAATTTAAACCAACGGTGAGACAAAAGGTTCAGTACGGTTAGCCCAGATGATCCACCATGATAAACCAATCAAAGTGAGGGCTGCACCACTGATAGAATGATAGTAAGAATAAGAAGCGTGGGAAAAATGCAATCCTGCGGACATAAAATCACCGGGAGGTAGAATAGAAATATTGTCTAGTAGAAAGCTTAACAACATAATGTTCATATGGTTATGCGGCGGCGGCCGCCGAACGATAAGCTGTCAAACTCAGATTAGTAACATCGCCATCTACAAGTGGTGCACGTATGCACATGATTGTCGTTCGATCTGAAGCGCTTGTCTAAATTCGGAACAGGTTCTTGTGCATGCTAATCAGCTGCCCACTTAGCCAGCTTGCAGGTCGACTGTACTCGTAACTAATAAGGGAAACACAACCCTACAATGGATAATAAAACGTTCACAGATGAGTGAGGCAGGTGAACAGGAGATTGACTTGAGTCGCCTTCAATGTGTGACGCAAAAAGCGCTATCGGCCGAATGTCCTCCCAGTTCAAATCAGTTCAATCAGTTTTATTTGTGCTTCCATCTGGGATTGTTGCTGAAGAATGAGCTTTTGAATGTTCGGCGGAAAAGTTTGTAACAGTTTCGTGCTTGTCCGTAGCCATTGTTAGATCTTCAAGTTTTCTCGCTATTCCGAATTAAACACCCAAAAATTCTCCGCAAACGTTCTAGCTTAGTCGAAGAAAAAACAGGAGTCCGACGACCTTGACCGCGAAAAACGTGTTAACGCTGTACAACCACGCCAGACCTACATCAAATGTATAGGAGGCCCAATGATCTTCGGCTTCTAGAAAACGAAGGTCAACTGGTGAAATTAGCAGCCTCTGTCAAAACTCCGTATGCTACCGATCACGTGAAGGAATGGAAGGTTCCTAAAAAGCTTCGAAATCAATGCACAATCGATAATAATCGATGAATTGCTAAAATAATGGGTTTTCCTTGATGTTTTACCTTTTCCTGGATACCCAGAACAAAATGTCATGAACAGAAACTGCCGAACAGGAAGACCATGGTGGGCAACAGGCTCAACCCACAGCAAAGTTGGATAAGCACTCTTTTAGGTTGAAGTAGGTGCACTGGGTTGTACTAAGCACGCAAACCACACGATCAAAAATATTTTTGTCCCCCCCCCCAACTGTATACACTCGGTTATTAATCGGGAAACAATCCAGCAGTGCGGCCTCGGCCTTCACTTGGTGCTAAACCTACCCCAGGCAACTTAACTGAGACGGCTTCTGAATCTCCAGAAAGACGTGGGTGATGTCTGACGTGGTTATTGGGGATGTTAGCGTAAGCAGTCCCGGGGTCTTGAAATCGGATTTCGGAAAGGCAGCAGATGTCAACATTGAGGAACTCCAGGGTGCGCACTAGATCGGCTTGCTGCATGAGTATCCGTACACTGAAGCACGCCAGACGGAACGATAATCAAAGAATGGCCACAGGTTGAACTCCGTGGTTCGCAATGCGACCAGAATGGCAGGTAGACCCATGAACACAGGAATCAGGTAAAGAATAAAAGGGTTGTTCACAAATAAACAACTGGCGTGTGATGAAGTCGCGCAAAGGTAAAAAGTAGGAACAGTAGCGGATGAGAACAGCGTAGGTGAATACAGTTTAGAACAGTCCATGGGCTTCGGTCAGAGGGCATGATACCATCTGATTGCCCAAACCAGTGGAGTGTTGAGTTAGGAAACATCACCCCCGACCTTTGGGTCATTAAAGGGTTTACCATGTTAACCCAAGAGTCCCGTGAAAGGGAATGAGCCGATGCTGGTTCTAGGACGAAAAAGGAGCTTTTTGTTTTGTGATCCGTTCGTAGAGAATTTTTCTGTTCACTTTTGAGTCGCGTTGTTTGTGCGTGTTTAATGTTAGTGGTCCATTCGTGCACCTGTAATATTGTTGAAAAGCCTCCGGTCTTGGGAAATCTTGCTAGCAATTTTCGCGTCTTCAGGGTAAGCGTTTGTTTGTATTCTTATAGTCATAAGCAACATGTTTACTCTGTTCAGTGAGATGGGGTATGGATATTGGGTGACAGTATACAACTGTGCTAGTGTTAGGAGAACATTCGGAAGTAGAAAAATGCATCTCAGCCGGAAGATCGGACCAAACGTTGGAGACGTGTCATTAATTCCCTGGATGGAATATTGTGAGTGGGTCCAGATTGGCATTTGTTTTGATAATGAAGATAAATTGTAATATATTGTGGACGTTAGCGGGGAGACCGCAAGCAGGTTGATGTCTGCGTCGACGACTCCTAAGACGAGTAGTAAATCAAGCAAGTTGGTTGACAAGTGTTTTTTTAACCAAGTGTCCATCCGTCGGCCATAACAGTCGACAGCAATTCAGTGTCAGCGAAAACGGACTTGGTGACGAAGACAACTTCGGTAAATCTGTCTCCAGCTATTATTACCTGTTTGCACGGCAGCACTGATGTAGAATGTAATGCGGAACAGATAGTAGTAACATCAACAGTCGGGGTATTCCAAGATTGTAGATGCAGTAGAGCAGTGTATGATGGGAAGTGCCAGTAACAAGTAACTACAGAGATTGACGGACGTCTGCTAGTTCATGATGGCCAAGAGGCGCTGCTGTAAATGCTTGTTGAATATACGTAATATATCCGCCTCCACATCTTGTACAGCGATCTGGACGGAATAGTTGGTAGTTGGGGATCGATAGAGTTGAATCTATGATCGATTCACTCCAGTTGTCAAAACTGGTCTCTCTCTTCGAGACCTGCCAGGGCAGGTGGATCAGTGTTTCGCAGAGAATCTCACTTCCAACCTCAAGCAGGGCAGGCACAAGGAAATTTCGACCAACATTTCGAAGACAATTGAAAGCTGTGATCGCGTTTCGGACCTCAGCCTCCGATGGAACTACTAAATTAACCCGTCACCGCTGAGTAACAAGATGCCCGGGAGCTGGAGAGCCAACCGAATAGCTCGCAAAAGTACTCTGCCCCACGAGCAGCACAGCGTTCCTTATCGTGACTCATTATCATTCACTATACACCTCAGCTAGAGGCGAAAAACTGTGCCGCAAATATCGTAATTTAATGTACCGGTGCCGTCCATGCTTGTCTCACTGGCGCAAAAACTCCCAGGACCAGTTGCGCAGTACAGCTGGAAGAGTTTGTGGCAATTGCCCGCTGCTTATGCTAACAAGGAACAAGAAAATAGCAGTACATTGGTCAATTGAACTGGTGCTTCGCTGTCGCACAACTACAATGACTTATGAGGCGAAAAATACGTAGGGAGAGAGAAAAGACCTAGCAGTAGCAGTAGTAATAGTATTAGTAGTAGTAGCAGTAGTAGTAATCTCAGCAGTCTAGCAACCAGACACAGCCAACAGAAAACCTTGTCAACATGCACATCAAGCGCAGCCACATCGGGGATGTCAAGCAACAAGCAATCACATGAACCGAAATGTCGAATAAAATAGATCGAACATGCCGTACGGATATGTAGCTAAATTAGGGTATGTAATAAATGGATTATCAAAATGGCCTTGATAGATTTAGGATGGCAGAAAAATGGATGAAAACACATACGTAAGGAGAAAAAATAGGCGAAGTTAACCGGCATTAGTTTAAGCAAAATGTACAATCTAATAGAGTATGCAGGTACACATTAAAACGAGGTAAGAAAATAAAACTCATACAGGGCAGAAAACCAACTTCCTAAAATAAAGAAACGCAGCACACAAGCACGCGATAACTCGAATGCAAGTTACCTACCAACGCTGCTCCGGTTCTGCTTATGTCCATGGCTACTCGTCGTCGTTTCGATGCTGGACCCGAGTGGCCTCGCTCGTGGCTCACTAAACATGCCTGACTCCGGGGTAGCCGGAGAGTATTATCTGCCCTCTCGACCCAGTCGACATTACTCCCTCTTTTGGTTGTTCCTGTCTTTCGTATCCCTTCCAACGCCCTTCTTCCTTGTCTATGGATAAAGAGATTGACGCTTATCTTGCAGCTGCTGTCACCGATACATGTAGCTCTTCTATCGAATCTAGGGGTTCATTGCACTTCGGTTCTTTTAACGTCCGCACACTGGGTCGGATCGGTCAACAGACAGCACTAACTCACTCTTCACTCTTGGTATTGATGTGTGCCATCTCCGAAACACCCATTCAGGATAACAACGTTGTGACGAACCTTCGATCCGCTGGTTCTGAAGGTGGTGATAATGACTACACTGTTCGCGTCTGTGGCGATATTAATTCGATGGCTCAAGGTATTTACAGTGT